CGACTTGTTTCATAGGATAACTCGAATTATTTGCAAAACAGAATGTCTCGATGACAAGATACATCTGTTTAAATTTATAAAAAATTCTGTGCTAGTTTAATTTTTTTTTTCAATTATTGACATATTTTTAATAGTAATTTAATACAACCAGATGTGTTCCAATTCATGTAACCAATCAGATTTACCATGTGTGCCTCTATAATGGTGTCCATATTTTCCCTTAAACGGTTGTGTCCCTTAAAAGGTGCCCACAGGGCCATTACAACTGCTCTATAGATGTCAGACCATGAAGAAAATTAAATTAAATATAAATTTAATTATGTGTATTCGTTCTTGCGGGTGACCAATAATTTTGGATTGCGATTTTCATTCAACATTAGTTGGTATGATTTTTCTCTATACGACAGCAGAAATATTTTCTCTTCCATGAACTATGATTGAAAATATTTGAAAAAAAATAAGTTTCTTGTTAAAATACTACATCTTCATCATATTTTTTTATCGTAACATAAAATTTACGTATTATACTGTGTTGTAGATAAAACATTCAAGTATAAATGCAACCATTCCATTAAATTTATCTATGTCAAAATATGCTAAAAGGAAAACATCAATTCCTCATGAAGCACGTTCTGAGAGTCTTCATAAATATTTTAAACCATTGAATGAAATTTCTAATCAAATAATTTCACCATCATCAGAAATACAACCGGTTCATGCCAATGCTATTCCAACAAATGACCCATCTCAGTTGTCTTTCTCTCTCACCAATACTTCATCATTAGTTGATAATAGATCACGTTTATCTATAGACAATACAGAAATAATTTTGTGTAATTCTTTCAAAAATATTTCTACAACGAATGCACATTCAATTTTATCAACCGAATCTATTCAATCTGCTACGCTTCTTCAATCAAACATAAGGGTTCAATCTTCTAACACATCTTTACTTCATCAAAATAATAGTAACAGCTTATCCTTATAGATGAATGATTGTTTATGGTGTTATTCACATTCTTTTACCTTTAATAGGTGCTTCTGAAATTCAACATGATAAATTTGAAAATAATGAATTAACTGAACGTGATACATTAGCGACTTATTTACTTCAAATTGAATCTCATGTAAAATTTTGTCAAAGTTCAGCTAAAGAATCTACTCGTCTTGATGTTTCACATAAAGAATTTGTTGAAAAAACTCATGTTTTTATTGTTCAATTAAAAAATATTGCTGATTCACTTGATACAACTTGCCGTGAACAAATTGAAACAATTAATGCACAATTATCCAATATTGAATTTGTTTCTACCAAATCCAATGATACAACATCACGAGATCCTGGTGAGTAATTTAGTTCTCATGACAAAATTCGAAAATTTGTATTTTAAAGCTTATTGGCCACTAAAATGGAAAATTTACAGAAGAACAACTGCGGTATCTTGTTCACAAAGGTCCAATGCAGCCGGTACTAAAAAATTATCCGAAAAATCTTAAATTAGCTTCACAAAATACAACATGTAAATTTGCATCAAAATGGTTTAGTGAATACCCGGATGTTAGAATATAGCCAAACAACTGATAAAGCTTATTGTTTTGCTTGTCGATTATTTTATAGGGGTATGCGATCATTCTATGAACAAATCCTTATCATTTTTATGTAGGTCCTGGTTCTGAAAAGGTTAATCTTGCATGGATCAAAACAGGTGTTCAGTCTTGGTCAAAAATGAAGGGATGAGGAAAGGAAAGAAAAGGTAATGTGCTCAATGGCTTCTTCATTTTTAGTACTTGGAAAAGTTTAATTTTTCTTTAGGAAAATTAGATCAACACTTTACATCATCCAGTCACATGTCATCAATGTATCGATTATCAATTTTCAAGAACAAACATTCGAATGTCGAATGTTTACTTAGTGCTAATCATCGTCTTGCTACTCAAAAAGAAGAATCATTATTTAAAATAAACAAAAAAATGATTGAAACATTTTTCGATTGTACGTTGTTCTTGGTTAAACAAGGTATTGCATTTCGTCGAGATCATCAAGAACATGGTAAGTTTATTAGCAATATTATATTTGACCCTACTAAATTTTTTCTTTATTGTAGGAAATTTCATTCAACTTATTAATTTACTTCGCCGTTATGATCCACTGTTAAACTCTTGGTTTAATGAAGAAAACTATAAAAGTCATCAAGTAATACTCATATATAGATTCAATTCCTTTGCCTACTAAATAAAAAAAACCTGTTACCAATTTCAAAGAGCATTCTTAAGTCCCCGAAACATAGTCTTCTCAATTGTGTTTACTGATGATATAAAACTTAATCATTTTGCTCGAAAAGTCTTTTTTGTCTTAGTTACAATAATTACTCTAAATTATTTTTGTTCTAGGTTACATATACAAGTGCTCGTAGTCAAGATGAATTTCTAGAACAAATTGGTACTTTTGTTATTAGTTCTATTGTTCAACAAGTACAAAATGCACCATTTTACTCGATTATGATAGATTCTACACCAGATTATAGTCATAGAGAAATCTATTCATTAGTACTTAGATATGTTCATGTTGGTTTAAATGTTAATGAACGTGTTCTTCGTTTAAATGAATTACCATCAAAAACTGGTCAATCCATTTGTGATTTTATTCTCGATACGCTTAATCAGTATAAAATTTCAACTGATTGTATAATTGCAGTGTTATGACAATGCACCTAACATGTCTGGATGTCGACGTGGGGTGTAAAGCCTTATGAAAATTGCTCTCAAACGTGATATTATTCCTATACCACGTTGTGGTTATTCAGCAAATCTAGCTGTAAAACATGCTTGCAAATGTTCCACTGAATACATTCGTTTTTTTAATTTAATTGAAGAGATATATACCTTTTTTCATCAGTAGTATTAATTGTTATCATATTTTTCGAACTCAAATCAATTCATCAACATCTGCTGTAACTGTAAAGAATTTATCTATTAGACGGTGGTCAGCTAATAATGAATCAGTTAGTGCTATTCATCGTTCGATGCCAGAAATCATCAATACATTTAATTTAATTATCAGTTATATTGATGATAAAAAGAATAACGACATAAATGATAATCTTACACTAGAAGATAGAAAAACAAAACAACAAGTATATATATTTTAATGCCTAATTCTTTAACAAAAACGCATTTTCTTATTTTTCAGTCTATTAATTTGCAAAAAAAAGTTTTGTCATTTGAATTTACTTTACTGTTAAATTTTTTAAATCAAGTAACACGACAAACTCAAAGTCTTACAGATCATCTACAAAAGAAATCTCTTGATCTTGTTACAGCTTCTCATCTCTTGCGTAATACAAATAAAATTTTATCGGAATGGAGAAATGATGATTTATTTTTACAGCGATTGATTAAGGTAAAGCAATGGGTACAGCTGAAATATTTCCATGAAACAATAAACGAGTTAACATGCAGTTTGGAGAAATTAGATTTGAATTGATAGTAATATTCATGCATAGTCTTAGAGATAAAATATTTATCAATCTATTTATCATTAGTTGAGTACAACGATATTACTGAATAAATAATGAGAATATTGAACTCAATTGAACATTATTCTTTATATTCTTATTTTAGGAATGTGATGATCAAGTTTTACGTAATGATGTTGATATTAATGATGAATTTTCTCGATATCATCACCAACGACCACGTTCTTTAATGATTGATTCTAATTTTAAAACAGGTGTTCGTTTACATCGGTACAGTAACTCATGCAAATATTATTCTGTATGCAGTATATTTGTTTTAGTATTGAATATTATATGAAGTTAATGCGTGAAATTCTTGATTATTTAATTTGTTCATTATCTGAATATTACCAAATAATTGAAAAAAACTTCAATATTTTTCGAACATCATTCCTGGCCGTGTTAATCAATTAACTCTCGAAAATGCTAATAAAATTGCTGAAATTGTGCCAGGTATTTCAAGTGGTGAACTTTTATATTCAGAATTACAACTTCTGATAAAGGATATTGACAGTTTTACTGAACTACCAGAAGTTATTAATAAACTTCAAATAATCGGTAATGGATATCCAAATGCTACACGAGTTTATCAATTTCTTCTTGCATTACCAATAACAGTGGCAACAAATGAACGTTGTTTTCCGAAGTTAAAATTAATTAAAAATAAATTAAGATTCACATTGACGACTGATAAAATGGAATGGTTAATACTTTGTTCAACTGAAAGAGATTTATTAGAAAATATTAATTTATCGAACTTTGCTGATGAATGGTCACGTTTAAAGAACAGCCGACTAAAAATTGTATCGAATTAAATTAGTAATTTTTAAAAAATTTGTTTTATATCGTGATAGTCTGAACTTGTCTTTAATGCCTTATTGCTTTGAATAAAAATATCCGAACAGATATTCTTACAATAATCTTGCAATGTATTCCAAAAAAAATAAACTTATACTATTTTAAGTGCGAATTTTTAAGTACGGTCCCCCCAATCTTTAAATAATCGGGACACCCTGCTGATTGGTCAAAAATAAATGCAAATAAGAATATTTTAGTAGAATTTTGTTTCTCTTATTGGCTGATATATTCGCTCCAGGATACTTGCAACAAATCATCAATTTTTATTGCTCGAGTTTCTTTCTCATTGTGATGCATATCTATAAATAATGATATTTGTTCCGGTTACTATCATAGATAAATATAGTTCTTGATGACGCTAAGAAAAATCGATATGGATTCAGATTTATGCTTTACAAGCCAGGACAGAATATTGCTTGGCTACATTTTTGAATCATCGATAAGACTTTTTAAATATTGTTTGAAAGAACTTTATATGGAATGTTGATGAAATGTTTTTGAATATATTTTAGAACTTTCTAAAAGTTTTAGTTAAAACCATTAATTCTTGCTTACAATATTGAAGTTACAATAAATACAGTTTATCAGACCTATTTTGATATATCACGAATAAGTTAAAGGATGTCATACGTTCAGGATGAAAAACTACTTGGACAGAAAAGAATAGTCATCTTAACATCACTCAATCTATCCAAAGGCTATTTTTTTCTAAATTGAACATCTTTCACTGCTTTTGTAATATGTCGCAAAAAATGAAAAGTACCTAATATAAAAGTGCCTAACGTTTTCAAAAATTCAGTAGCCAGAAATTCATGTTTATTTTTGTTGGGTTCATTTATGTACTTAGTGGGTGGTTAAACTACTCAAGAGTTATTGCATGAGAATCGCGTCCAAAATCATATATAGCTGCTCAATCGATAGTTTTAAATTTCGTCGAAAGTTATCCCATTTTGTAGAGTTCATTTTTTTCGGTGCATACCCAAACTCCTAGCTTTGATGAATGAGTTTTCCTGAGATATCATGGCTCGACTAATAGAACTCAAAATATCTCTTTTATGATAGGATCTCTGGGCCACGTAACAAGGCTACCGTCATGAAAATGTAGATTTAAGATTTTCTTATCTCGAACGATAGGCTATCGTTAAAATGCTTTAAACTGAAAAGATTATTTCTTCTTAATATACCTATGAAAAATGCGAGGGCTTCGCAAATACAGATACATTTTGTACTCCATGGAACAACAAAGAAATACTAGCACAAAAATGAATCGGTTTGTATCGGCTTGTTCGGCATGTATCGCGATGGATCGCCATGTTTCGGGTCCCGATACATGACTTCTAGAATTCATCTATCGCCATGTATCGTCATGTATTGGAATGTGTCGGGTCCATGTATCGGTATAATACCATGTATATCCCCCAAAAACCTAGAATTCTAGAATTCATGTATCGGGTCCCGATACATGAATTCTTAAATTCTAGGTTTTCTGGGGGTATATATGTTGTTGGGTCGTTATATTGACCGATTGCATGTAATTACATGTAATGTTCCTATGTAACGACCCCACCACATATATACTCCCAGAAAGCCTAGAATTCTACAAAATCATGAAATGACATGTAATTATAAGTTGTATCCGTACTTGCGAATCTCTGTTTTCGTGACGGGACCTCCCTTCGCGGCACTCACACCTGGGTTGTATGGTGTGAGTGTTTTTCGTCACGGGATCTCCCTTCACGGCACCCACACCTGGGTCAATGGTTGAATAGTTGAGTATCTGAAAGTTTAATAATTGAATTCAATTTTCAAGTTTGACACATATGGTATTTTCGGGTATACATGTTGTTGGGTCGTTACATAGGAAGATTACATGTAATTACATGTCGTTACATGAATTCTAGAATTCTAGGTTTTCCTGGTGTATATATGGAGTATGGTCGTTACATAGGAACATTACGTGTAATTCCACGTCATTAAATGTAATCGGTCAATGTAACGACCCAACAACATACGTATATAGCCCTGGAAAACCTAGAATTCTAGAATTCATGTAATGGCATGTAATTACATGTAATCTTCCTATGTAACGACCCAACGACATATATACTCCCAGAAAACCTAGAATTCTAGAATTCATTTGCTGATATGTAATTACAAGTTGTATCTGTACTTGCGCATCTCTGTAAGATAATTTCATACATTCGTACAATCTTCAACTTTTTGTGAAACTAACATATATTTTCGAAGAAAATAGTGAGTGTTAGTTTTAAGTGACAGTTTTCCAATCCTCCATTCTTCCTTTAAAAAAACTTAATAACCAGGATCCCTTCCTCCTTGCCCCTTCCACTACATACTTTAGCAATCGAGAATAATTAGCGACAGTCCTTCTAGATTTTTTTCAAAATTGACCAAGTTATAATTTTGAAAAATAATGAACACCATTATTTGTGAGTTGATTAATATATATAATAGTGTGAAAGATCTGCAGTAGATATCATGAATATGTAAAACACTTATTTGTCAATTAATTCACTAATTCTAATAATAAGAATGTTGAATTAAGAAAAACGAATTTAAAAAATGAAAAATAATTAATGAATAGCAACAATGTACACAATAAAATAGGACAACCAAAGAAAAAATAAAAAATTTCTGTTCGAAATGCAGAAATTAGAGAAGCCCTTACTCTAATGATCGATTATTCTCAAAAACAGTTATAGATTGCGAAAAAGTTTTCACTTTACGTATTTTGTATCAGTTTAATGAGGCTAGAGAGGATATGTGAGTTTCACATTGCAGTCTCAAATGGACTGCGCTAACAAGCTTTTTTTTATCAAACCATCTATTCCATATAAAAAAAACATTGACACAAGTGGAGAAGGTGCGATTAAATATGCATTGAACCAATTTAGGCCATTTACATTAGAAAATGGCTGACGTCCTTAGTATATGACGCCACAAAATCATTCCTAAATCATGTCCTAATGAACAATAGAGGGTTGTTCAGATAGTAAAAAATGCATAAAATAAGAGCACATAGTTAATAGGTGTCAAAAAACCTACTCAGATGAATCTTTATGACGACTACAAATGGCCGTATACAGTGAAAACACGATCGTACACGGCGGTACATACGCCGTTTTTCTATGCACCTCATTATGGCCGCAAATGGCGGTGTCTTAAATGGTGACATACGGTGACTGCGTACAACACAAAAAATACCGTAAAACGAGCCAGCTGTCACCGTATGCGGTCGTACATGTCAACGTTTACGGCACAGATATGCTCATGTACCACCGTACCGTAAATGATGACATGAGGCTACAGTACACGACATAAAAAACGCCGTAAAACAACGCAGCTACCACCCATTCTCAGGACAGCTCCCAGTCATATTTGGTCCGATCCTACGATTATCATGAACGCTCTTTCGAATAAGGGGTATATGTGTAGGACTCCACCTTTCATATAGCTGAGAAATAGAATCTCGAAATCTGATTGCTCAATTAAAACTGATCAATCAGATTTCAGGAGGCGTCTTCTTACTTATTTTTAGGACAACCATTGTTTATCTTCGGGCGGATTCTAGATTTATCGAGGACGTTTTTTCAAGTAAGAGGTATATGTGTAGGACTCCGTCGTTTATATCAGCGCGAAATGGAATGTCGAAATCTGATTGGTCAATCGAACTGGACGGATTGTCGCTTAGAGGCGATGGAATCAGTCGACGGCCGTAAGCGATGGGTGTTTACTCTAATAGTTTGTGATTGGTGTAATAGTAAGGAAACAGTTGTTTACGATTGTTGAATACAGCAACCGAAAACAGCTAGCGTATACAGTTCATTACACTATTTTATCTTATGCATGTATTCGGTAGTCGTATTGCTACGCTGGTCGTGAACGGTGGCCATCTATGGTGGCTTTTTCCGATTGTCGTGATACGCCGTAAAGTATCGTTAACGATTACCATCAATAAATACTATAAACAGCTGATGTATACGACATCTTACGATATTTTTCGAGCAACGTATACAGTTATCTTATTGTTATGCTAGTCGTTTACGGTGACCTTTTACGGACATTGTTCATGCTAGCCATTATGTGTCGTAAAGCATCGTATACTATTGCTGTAAACGGCTACAGGAAACAATCACAGTTATCCGCCGTCAGAGCTGGAACCGGTCTGGCAAACCGATACCGGACCGGTTGAAAAAGCCAACCGGGCCGGATGAAACCGGAATTTCACCGGTATGAGTTCCTAAGAAAATTTTGTTGCTTAACGATATTTTTGAAAATTAATGCTAAAAAGTTGTCTATATTTGTGCTTGAGAATGTGCAAAAAGGCTCAAAACATCTCATTTTAATTAAAGCAGGAGATTTACGANTTTGAAATAGACTCTAATTAATATAAACATGATTAATTCTCATATCAGTATAAATATAGTGATTTTTAATAGAATTCATTTGAAAATAAGCTTTAATTAGATACCTTTAAAGCGGATCGTATTGAATTAGCAATAAGAATTAAATAAATAGTGTTTATATTGAATTATAGATAATTCTATCTCAATCGTGATAAATTCTATTGAATAATATTATAATACATATAAGATATTATGTGAAATATACTAAGAGAATTTATTCATTTTCATCAGGTCAATTAAAAATTAATTTCATTGAAATTTTTTTTTGTTTAATAATATTTTATTTATACATATAAGAATGTTAAGAATTCTATAAGAAAAGAATTGAATAAAAGAAGATGATTTATCTCGACGATCTCAAAATGATATTGTCAAGTTAAAAAATCGATTTCCATCACAATCAGTTTTTGTTCGTTTAACACCAAGTCCAGAAGATTATTTTTGTTTTGTTTCTTTTTAAATGAGGGAACGAAACAAAAGCAAAAAATAATAATTAATATATTGTTGAATAATTGAAATATTTATTTTATTAA